TTTCGATTTTTCGATTTTTCGATTTTTCGATTTTTCGATTTTTCGATTTTTCGATTTTTCGATTTTTCGATTTTTCGATTTTTCGATTTTTCGATTTTTTGATTTTTCGATTTTTCGATTTTTCGATTTTTCGATTTTTCGACTTTTCGATTTTTTGATTTTTCGATTTTTCGATTTTTCGATTTTTCGATTTTTCGATCTAGAAAATATCGTTATGAAAAGTATCGCATATCTTTAGTTATCTATGCCAGAATTACAAAAGCGTGAATTATCATAATTCACTCCGTGATATATGGGTACTATATGCTCTTAGTTAGGAGGTAAAATATTGATTTATTATTAAGTGGTCGTGGACAAATTGTTATATTGTAAATATTTTAAGTGAAGTAGAAAATAAATTAATTCATGAATTTGAAAAGAAAAAAATAGTAAAAAACGGATTTTGGTGTGAAATTGGAAAACTCGTCGACTATAGTCACGGGCTTTAACTGCACTATTGACAGAGATTTGTACCGATGATCATTTAGATATTCGCTGAAATTTTTGAGTTATGTTGTTTTTACAAAACAATAAACACAATTTGTCTGCACTCCCCAGACAACTATTCACTCAGTAAAAAGTCGAGCACAATCCGAGTTTGCTCGGCCATGACAGGACAGTTTGAATTTAATTTAAAGCCATGCGTAGTTATCAGAAACAGTACTTGTATCTCCGTGACGGCTGGGAGGAAAAATTTTGAGTTGAGTATATTATGGAAAAATTTCTCCTTACAATCAAAAATTAACGAATCCAAGCGTATGGCTAAAATCTCGACGCTCTAGTTACAACGTGTGTTTCCAAATAAAATAAAAGCAATTAACAGAACTTTGTAAATAGAAATACTTTAACAGCACATCTATTATTGAAAGCTTTTTCCCGAAGGTATACAAACAACCTTTTCCTTTTCAAGTCCTTTATTCACTGTCAGGAGTGTCAGGGACGCGCTAGCTCATGAACAAAAATGTGTATTGAAAAAGCCTTCTTAAACATTCCACAAGGGTTCTGTCACCCCATATAAAATTGTTAGTTTAGGCTGTAGCTAATAATACGTCCGAAGTTCAAATATTAAACTAAAATGTTTGCACAGAGACAGCAGACATAATCAAATTGTAAATATGCTATTTTTAAAGTTCTGCAAGCATATAAGTTTTCTAAAAAGAAACTTATTCAAAAATAACAGACGTGTATTTTTAATGAATGTAACAATGTATTAATACCTACGTATTGTTCATAGTTTGCAAATGTATTTAACACTTTTCCAGCTAATTTCTAAAATGCCATTATATTTAAAACAGTTAACTTTTGGAGTCAATATTTTTTTTTGTGATATTGCCGTATCTCTAATATTTTTAATTAAAATAAAACTGAAATAACCAAAGAAGTAACGTATATTTATGCCACAAATGTGTCTCCACGATAATATGGATCGACGAAAATATGAAATTATATTTATTTATCCCAAAAAACCACAAAACCACCAATTCTTAATATCCTGTATCTGTCTTAGAGGTCCACTGCTAAAGTTCGCGGAATCAAGTACCCTTCGATTGTCATATTCGTAAAATTTGACGTTTTTCACCTATCAATCAGTTGACAGTTCGATTTTAAACTGCTCGGTTTCGTTTCAACAAAATTTAACGAGGGTAATATTTGTGTGAAAAATGGAAATTTCGAGTCGTGACTTCTGAGTGATGATTTTTTATGATTTTCAATACGAAATTGCAAATAATCTATTAGAACAGATTAAATAGAATTGGGCAGAAGAAGAACCGATAATTGGAACAATCTCTAGAAGGTTAAAGATGCCAATATACCTCTGAGTGCACATAATCAGAAAAGATGGAAAGCTGTATCATCCTGAGCAATAAGAGGCTACACATTGTAACAGGGATCCTTACCGGGCATTGGCGACTCAAATTACACCTTAGTAAACTGAGAGTGGTAGAAGATATTGTAGGCATATTCTGTGAGGAGAGGAATGAAACCTCGATTCACATTCTGACCGAATGTGTAGCACTTTAGAATCCAACGACACTATAATTAGGCGTACCTCAAAACGAAGAGGTCAATCTACCTAACTTGAAGCCACACCAAATCCTATACTATAAAAGGCAATTTTTTTAGATTTTACACTACTGAGGATCTACCATTAATACTTTGGACAACACAGACTTTTAAAAATGCCTTTTTAAAATAATAATTTAAAACATTTTATGGCACTATAGGTCCCCATAATTTTCAACCAAATTTTATGAAATTTTAATTATATTGTAAATAGTTAGACATGTTTTCCAATATAAAGTGTGACTGAGACTGGTGAAAGCTTTACATTATAATGAGATATTTGAAAAAAAACCAAGCTACCCATTAAAAAATTGATTGATATTTATTAAAACAAGAGTCACCAAATTTTTATAAATTTAAAGAAGTATTGCGAGATTTTTTAAAATTTTGTTTTAAAATTAATAATCTGATTAACAGATATGAGCTTAGTATGCATAAATTTTATTTCTTATACATATATACCGATGCTGTAGAGAGGTATTTCAAGAAGTGAGAACGAGTCTTAACGCCGTCTGGCCAGAAGAAGTACATCAAAGGACCCCGCAATAATCTTATGGAAATTGGGTTTCTGTCAAATTGTTTGAATGTTGTAGATTTTGTCTTCATGGGCACAAAGTGCCAAAATGAATATTTTGGCAGCTACGGAGCTGCCAAAGCTCCCCTGACCCGTTGCAAAACTATTTATTTTCAATACTATTTACAGATGTCAAAAGCATATTTTAATTACTGTAATATGTAGAGTAATGTTTTTCAGGTCACTGAATTCAACTTTCATGTCAGATTGGACAAATTGACAGTTGACAGCTATCAATACACTGTCAACGAAGTAAATATTCTCTGTTGACATTGAGAGTTTGGGCTTTTGAGGGAGCTGAATTCAATTCTAATCTCAGATTGGAAATATTGACAGTTGACAGCTGTCAATTCACTGTCAACGAAGAATAGAGAAGTAAATATTCTTTGTTGACATTGAGTTGACAGTCAATTGACAGCTGTCAACTGTCAATTTTGGCATGAGAATTGAATTCAGCGACCTCAAGAACCCAAACTCTCAATGTCAACAGAGAATATTTACTTCTCTATTCTTCGTTATCAGTGAATTTAAAGCTGTCTACTGTCAACTTTTCCAATCTGAGATTAGAATTGAATTCAGCTCCCTCAAAGCCCAAACTTACAATGTCAACAGAAAATATTTACTTTTCTATTCTTCGTTGACAGTGTATTGACAGCTGTTAACGGTCAATTTGTCCAATCTGACATAAGGGTTGAATCTGGTAACCTCAAAAATATTACCCTATATATTAGAATAATTAAAATATGCTTTTGACAGCTGTAAATAGTATTTAAAATGAATAGTTTTGCAACGGGTCAGGGGAGCTTTGGCAGCCCCGTAGCTGCCAAAATACTCAATTTGGCACTTTGTATCCATGGAGATTTTTATTCAGGATGACAAAATCTACAACATATCAAAAATTCAGACAATTTGACAAAAACCCAATTTCCATAAGATTATTGCGGGGTCCTTTATGTCTAGGAATCTCGACAGTGAATGTCGTAGATGGTCTAGATCTAGAATGAAGGGCACAAGTCTAATAAACAATGATCTCCGGGTTCGATCCCTGGCTGCGTAATACTTTTTTCAAATATCCAAGTATTTGTTCTTACCTTTGGGGTTCGGGGATGGTCTTAAACGAAGGGGGATTTTTGAGATTTGGTCCCGAATTTTATAATTCTCCAATAAAAAAATCCTTTATATTTTTTTAATTATTGAATCAAAATATTTTAATATGTTCTTAATTGATAATTTTACAATCGTTGAGTTTGATGTTATAAATATATTGTTATTATCTGAATTATTTATGAAAACTAAACCTGCATTTCTGGATAATATTAGAGAAGTGCATAATTTTATCCAATTAAAACTTTGTTGATTTAACTTAGCTTTCGTAAAACAATGTTCCTACGTAATATTTATGTACCAATTGCGTAATTGTATTTACTTCATTAAAAGCGCAAATATTATTTGCATGATAAAAGCTAATTTAATTAACAAGCAACTAAATTGCATGTTATATTAATGAAGTCTAAATTTTTATTTTGTAAAATTTCTAGCGTTTCGAAATACAGAATTAGATACATTTTTAAATACAGTCATACATTCGTCTTAGTAAAAAGCCCATTTATTATAAACTTTAATGGCTTAAATTGAAAATGAAATGTTACATTAACAGCAAAGGTGTTTTACCCCTTTAAATAAAGATATTTAATATTGAGTAAGAAAGTTATCCATTTAAAATGTGTTATATTAACAATATTAAAAACTATCATCAAACAAATTAATATTCAAGAACTAACTCATAAAAAAGGTACAATATTTAAATTGTTCAAGTACATAATAAAAAAATTTATCCTACGGCTTATAATAAATTCGTAACAATATAAACTAAAAAAAAAACTATATGAATTAAAAAATTAAATCATAATATGTTATATGTATAAATCCAAAAAAAAGAATGACAAATTCATCAATAGATGACACGGTTAGTCGTTAGCATGGTACCAGGCGAAGGACGATTTGCCCAAGATGTTAAGCAAATATTGTAATATATTAGTTTCTACCTTTTTACATTCTATGAAAGAAAAGTTATAAATCTACATGTGCAACCCCGCGCCTATTTATAAACAACAATAATAATAATAGAGTAAAACAAAATAAATATAATAAAAATACCAACGGACGTTAGGGATAGTGGTATTTATCAAAATTCTCATATTATTAGAGGTTATTTATTTTGACAATATTTTGAGATATAATAAGTAATAGTGAATAATAACAAGTTTTTTTTTGTTATCTCACAAACCAAACAACTTTACAATAATGTTTTCTCTTGTTTCAGCTTCAATGGCGTTCACTATAGTGCTCTTAGCTCTTTCTTCTCTTGGAATACTTACCACTCTTCTCTTATTTTATGGATTGTACAGGGTAAGTTAAAAAAAATATAGAACACTGGACCATATCAAATAATTACTATAGTCCATTTCACTTGTTTTGGCGTGTACTTTTCAATAATAGGCGACAAACTTTTAGAGTTGTATCTTTCTCATATACAAACGCATTCTACTTTTATTTGTATATCGTTACAAAAAATGTATGCCTAAACTGTAGCTGCTGAAATAAAAAAATTAATACATTGAATATTGACGTTAACAGATGTGGGGATAGGGCTACGTTGAATGTACTAAGATATCGGAAAAAGATGGTGTTAAAAAATATAAAGAGAAACACATTAGAAGGGTTTATATTTTTAATGTTACAGCCATAAACTAAATCTTGATGTTAACGACTTAATCAAGACCTACAGCTGCATTGGTACAGTCAAATATATATATTTTTTGTTAGAGTATTGTTACTAGTCATTACTGACTAACCTACAATTTTAATCTAAAAATCTTACAAACTAATTACTTATCTAAGAAGTTCCCATTGGGCAGTCTTAATTGTTTCTATAGGAAAACATCACAAGTTGGCGTGAAGATTTATTACACTGTTTTACACTAGCACTAACATTAACGTTCACTGCACTAGCTCAAATGGCTTCTTCCTTTTGAGCCTTCTGTTGAGTGTAGAGTTGTCCAGTAATTGCAGCGCTTCTTCGTTGACGTGGGAGTGGAGTCGACCCTCATGTTTCGCAGCAAACCTCTTTATTTCTTCTTCGATCGTTGGCATCTTCAGGTCTCTATGAAGATAATCGTTTCGGTAGAACCAAGGTGCATCAACAATACATCTTAGGACTTTATTTTGGATATTACTCTTGCTGGCACATCCCCATAGCTGTATGCCATAAATCCAGATTGGTTTTAGGATTTGTTTATAAATCAGCAGTTTGTTGTGCACGGTCAATTTTGATTTTCTTCCTAAGAGCCAATACATTTTTTTGAATTTAGGTTCAAGTTCTTTACGCTTTTTTTTATGTGCTCTTTCCATTTAAGTTTTACATCTAGGTTCATTCCTAGGTATTTGGCCGAATCGTGATGCGGAATAACGTCATTGTTTATTCTTATTTGTTTTTGTTCATTTGGTCGAAGAGTAAAATCAACATGCACTGATTTAGTTTGATTTATTTTTATTTTCCATTTTTTTGTCCATCGATTAATTATGTTGCAGGTTTCCTGAAGTTTTTCTGAGGTCTCTGTTTTAGTTCCGCCAACTGCCAATATTGCAGTGTCATCTGCAAATGTTGCTATTTTAACAGATTGTTGTTGAGGGATATCGCTGGTGTATAATAAATAAAGAACCGGTCCTAGCACACTGCCTTGTGGGACACCTGCTTTAATTTCTTTTATTTCGGAGTATGCCTCGTCTTGCTTCACTCTAAACATTCTTCCCGTTAAATATGATTGTAGAATGTCGACATATTGTCTAGGGAGCATTTTTTCAAGTTTCTGTATTAGGCCAGCGTGCCAGACCGTGTCAAATGCTTGGGCTACGTCAAGAAATATAGCTGAGCATATATATTTTTCTTCGTACGCTTTTTCGATGATATCGGCTATCCTGTGTACTTGATCTATTGTCGAGTGTTTGTTTCTAAAACCAAATTGGTGCGAAGGGATCAGATTTTTATTTTCAATTATTGGTTTTAGTCGTTTTAGTAACAGTTTTTCAAATAACTTAGATATTATCGGTAACAATGATATAGGTCTATATGACGACACTTCATTCAGAGGTTTTCCTGGCTTAGAAATTAGGATAACTTTAGCCATTTTCAAGTCAAATATATGATCACTTTTTTAAGGGAATAATTTTTGCGTCAAAAATATATACCAAAAATCTCATTGATATATGAAACAAGAAGATCCCAAAAATATAAAAGAATTTTATTGAAATTGTGAAAAGGATCTCTCAATAGAATGCTGTGACAAGAAAAGTGACTTTTTATTTGTCATCTGAAGTTGAAGATACCACGTTTTATATAGAACAAAATAATTAATGCTTCAGATTTAAAAAGTCGTTGTCTTTATATTTTATGAATTAGAGGAGATTGCAAAAGAAGCCGTGCTATGGTGGATTTTTTATAAAACCCTACACATTTTATTGGCAATGTTTTTATAAGCCTATACAAGTAAGTTAGGGTAGTTCATTTATTTTAAAAATCTATATCTTTTTACCAAGATGGTCAAAAAATTTAGCGTGTTTTTAGAAAATTTTATAACTTCATGATTTACATTATATTAGTTTTTAAAAAATATTTTAATAAACGTATTCGAGATATATTGAACTAAATGCATTAAATGTGTACAGGACAGGCTTCAGAAGTATTAATTATAAACATTTTGATTGTTAATATCTCGTTTCACAGACGTACAAAAAAATTTCATTTTTCTTAGTTACATAAATGACACTTTCGTTAACCTTATATTTCATTTTTATTGAATTTTTAAGAAAAGCCGTTTTACGAGTGAACTACCTACCTGAAATCGTTATAATAATTAGATATAGAAATCAATAAAAAAATTAAAAAAAACAAAATCTAAACTATCTATATTATTTTTGTAATGAACTAGGATCAAATCCACAATGGGCCAGAAGCAACTAAGAAAAAAACAGATTTATTTGGTGAATACTTGAATAAAATATTTACATCCAACAATGATGAACTAAGGTCACAGAATAGCACATATAATACATGTGACCCTGGAAGGCAAAAAATACTCTACATCTGCTTTCTTAGATGTTAGCCAAGTCTTTGATAAGATTTGGCATAATTATGGTCTTAAACTACATCTTAACTTAATTTTACTATTGAGATCCTGTCTAGGTGAAGGAGAATTCTAAACAAAAGTAATAGAAAGTATATCTAATGATATTCCAATAATCATATGTTCTTGCAATTTTCTGTATTTATTGTATACAGTAGATCTACAAAAAAATATTAAAAGAACCATGGAAACATTTGCCCAGGACATAATCATACTTGCAAGACATGAAAATCCAATAACAACGCGTTACAAAGACAATTAAATGATTTTAAAAATTTACAGTTACTTAAATAAAGAATAAAAATAGTTGAGGAAAAATCAGTCAAAATGATTTCTATATTAAGAAAACAACACTGTCCTCCACTTTTTCCAAACAATATTCAAACACCACAAACCTCAAGTACGAAATCTCACTTCGGTCCCGGGTCATATCGGGGTAAAGGATAACGAGATTGAATAGTCTTGCTAGAAAAAGGGCTCAAACAGCCTTTGTGGAACCTGAGTCGTTTTGCGGTATCAGCAGTAATACAATATTGGGAGAGATTAAAAAAGAATGGGGCAGTAGAAGAACCGATAATTGTAACAAATTCTTGAGGTTTAGACAGGTTAAGATACTTATGGATGATTATAACCAGAAAATATAAGTAACTTCATAAGGAAGTCAGGGTAACTGCTTCCTTTTTGTTTTATTCTTTAACATAACTTTTTTTATTTTAGTGGTAGCACTAAGAAAAGACACCTTACACCTGTGCATAATTGAAATAAAAGGAAATTATTTTCATATTAAAAATATAAATGTAGATAAAAAAAAATAAATAAAAGAGTGAACTAAAAAAAAATACAGCTGAAACAATCTATAAATAAAACATTCAATAAACAATACTAAAGAAGGCCGAAAGCTATATTGATCATTAAATCGAAAACTGCGTTTTTTTAAAAGACATCTCTATACATATAGTCAACACCTAAAACCCAAGAATCTATAAAAAACAACCAGAATAGATCTACCTGAACAAGAACAGACTACACATTATAACATGGATTCTAACCGGGCATTGCTGACTCAAAGAATATCTTAGTAAACTGAAAGTAGCAGAAGTGAGTGGAGATTCTGTGAATAGGAAGACTAAACCTTTATTTACATTCTGACTTATTCTGTAGCATTCCAGAATACAAGAGCACTATAACTAGGTGCGTATCAAATAGAAGACGGAGTTTTACCTAACTTGAAGCCACTCCAAATCCTACACTTCCTTGAGATGATAGGATTGAAAGGGTTGTTGTAGGCATCGAGATGTTTAAATGCTGTATTAGAAGGAGGTACAATAGATTTTTTAGGTTACAGTTTATTAACACCCCATTCCCAGCATATTATAACAAGTACGAAATACTATGCAAGGCATCTAGATTCAAGACACATGGAGAAAATTATTTCGTCAAAAATAGCAAAAAAGTTAATTTAAACAGTTACACTGGTTAACTTTCATTAAATTCAAATTGGTTCTGGAAAATTAACTTTTCTCTTACACAAGTATCGTTAGACCTATGGTATTGAACTCTGGAGATGTGCGAGTATCTGAAATGTATCTATTATCTAATAAAATTAATTAAAAATACTTTGTATGGTATGGGTCCACTGTAATCTTCCATAATGAATTAAAAATGATATATACTCATGATGAAATCTTGCAGAATAAAAAATAACGTAAATAGACTACTTCAACTGCTTTCAGATCCCCAAAATGCATAAAGACTAAAAAAGAAGTGGCCAGCTTAGATAACAAATTGTAACGATGTTCCCAGTAACACCGTTCTAGGAACGCCTATGGTTCAGTATGCAGCCGTTTTTGCCAAGCAGAGACAAGTATATAAATATCTCCGAATTTTATTCTCGTCAGTCGAACTAGGGTATTGATTTAGCAAGACTCTCCTCTCCTCCTCCTGCAGAGGTATTGACTCTGTAGACTTCCGGACGTCCCGACCATTACCTGCAAAGGTATTGACTTTGTAGGTTTTCCTTCCCGGTGAATCGCTCCCACGAAGGTACTGACTCCGAGGGACTTCAATCAACGTAAATGTAACCTAAGCTCTTGTCTCATCTTCGCCACACCTCCTGGACCACTAAGCCCCGCCGAAATGACGCACGAAAAATACTTTGGAGAAGAACATTTGAAGACACGACGAATTAAAATTTAGCCAGAACCTTTTCATGTACATATTGTAAAT